CATCCCAGAGTCATGCAACAACCTGGGTTGGAAGGAGCTTAAAGCCCATCCAGTGCCACCCTGGGACACATCTCACCATCCCAGGCTGCTCCAAGTCCCATCCAGCTTGGCCTTGGACACTTCCAGGGATCCAGGAGCAGCCCCAGCTCCTCTGGGCACCTGTGCCAGGGCCTGCCCACCCTGCCAGGGAACAATTGCAGGAACAGTGCAGTGGTAGCAGTGCAGAAAAATAAAACAGGCAAAGCATTTCATGGAGACACATTACAGGAGTGAGAGGCAACTTTGTGAGCACAGCACCAGCCAGGGGGTTAAAGAGCCCCATCTGAATTTTCAGATACATCAAAGCTGAAGAATTGCAGTTTCCTGAGTACATTTTAAAGATGACTAACATGGAGCAATCTCTGTGGAACTGAGAATTTATAGTCGTGTTGTGATGCATTTGCCTAATAACAGCTCATGCTACAACACTGGGGTGGAGGGACAAAGATGAAAATTTCTCACTTCTCCCGAGGCCAGCGTGTTTTTCTCCTTCCAGCCCACAAAGGAAACCATGAAAAATAAAAATGACATTCCAGGGTGTTCCCACAGGCAAACCAAAACATTTTGCTCGCCCCATCACATTTAACCCTATTAGCAGCAAGATGAGAAGGAAAAGTCTTGAGGCAATAAAACAAACCCTAATTCAGAGTACCCTGTGTGCCCAGCGCACTCGATTCACTGAGCTGAGTGTTCTGAGGGGACTCACTGTGCAGCAATCCACTTCTAGGTGAGCTCATCTACTGCAGTAAAGAAAATAAAAAATAAATCTCCAAGCTGCTAAAACAATACAAGATTTAGGGGCTACCAAGTGCTGAAGGATTAAGTCCAAGAGAAGCATTGATAGATACCAGAAGATGAAAGTTGCTGGGCTTATTTTATGGTAATGTTCTGCAATAAAAAATGCAGTGCATGGCTAATTATGCTTGAATTGGGGATGGGTACTGCGTTTGCATCAAAGAAAAGCATGAACCATATTTTGGGCTCTTCATATGGATCACTGGAAGCACCAATGTACCTGAGGCTGCTGCAGGGACAGGACAAGCAAAGCTGAGCCAGCTCTGCACCCATCAGCTCAAGATCATGGAACAAAACTGGCTGCTCCAGCCTCAGTGACCATTCTGATCCTCCCTGCCATCAACATCCCCCAGCCTGAGGCTGAGCATTCCCTGGTGCAGAACTCCAAGGATCTGCAAGTGATCCCATGAATGAAATCCTCCGAGCACAACTTTCAAGGGAAAAGCCTGCGGAGATGGAAAACATCCTCAGCCTTCAGCTGTGTTTCATCATTCATTCAGTGCCTCTGAACTCAGCAGGTCCCTTTCACCGTCTCCAGGAATCAGTGACAGGACCCTGGTGCATTTCAGGAAGCTTCCCTTGGAGGAGCAGGCCAGGAGAAGCCCTCCCCAGTGCAGAGCTGCTCCACACAAGCTGCCTCCCCTCACCTGCAGGACAGGGAAATGCAGGAGATGAGTCAGGAACCCCCAGCACTGACCCAGGGCTCTGGGAAGGAGCTCTGCCATTCCCAACAGCCTGGAAGTGACCTGAGGTGCTTTTCCCAGGACAGATGGGTGCTTTGAGGATGCTGCTACACAAATCCCATGCCATGAAGCGCCCAGGGAGGAGGATCTCCTGGTTAATCAGTCCTACAGTGACCTACAAAACTCCAAGTTTGCTCACTCCCCATCAACATGCAGATTGAGGAAGGTTCCCCGTCTGCTCCCATTATTTTTTTGCTCAATTACAGCTTTCTTGCTCTTTTTTCTTAATTAAAAATAGCACCTCTGACACACTTTTTGACAGACTTTAGCAGGGCTTGCATCCCACCATCTGCTCTTGCAGTTCCTTGCATAACCAGTACATGGAAATAAATCCTTCCTTCCTCCTTTCCTTCCTCCTCCTCCTCCTCCTCCCTACACCCCATCATTATTTGGGTAAAGCTGCTCCATTGTTCCTGCCAAAATTGGTGCCCTGCTGCCTCCCTCAGCTTGGGAAGGGAACTAAAACAGGGCAAACAAATAATTCAGTTATCAATAATTTGTTGAATAACAAAGGGGAAAAAAACATTTCATGCCATAAATTCTGAAGCCATGTTTATTTTGGAAGGGAAAATGCCCAAATTTCCTAGTACCTCTACATCTGGAGAGGAAAAAACCTGGATTAAATCAAACAATTAAATGTCAAATGTGGGGACATTTCTTAATGTACTTTCCCAGCTTTGGTGGCAATGCATCACCACTTCATTGTGGGGAGCATTAAAGCCACGTGTGATATGGGACACAAACTCTTCTCCAAGAAAGCATAAAAAGAGAAACTTTGTACTTAATTACTTGGCTAATTAAGCCAGGCTAATTAGCTGGCTTCATTTAATAGCCTGTGAATAAAATTTAGGTCAAGTTTACACCTCCTCCCAAAAGAAACACAACCTCTGCTGAAGTTACCAGACTCACCAGCAGGAGTTCTGCTCACAGATTGATCTGGCCCAATCCCAGTGTCTTTATTTTTCAAATCAATCCATTTTCCCATGGCATCCATCCATTTTCCTATGGCAGCTCTTTCCACTGCTTCAGACTCCTCCTCTGCAAGGAGAAAAGGCAACTTTGAACACACACTGCGAGGAAAGCAAAGTGAGAGGCAAATAATTCTCCACTTGAATGTGCCAGTTCTCCCTGCTGAGGGAGGAGAAACTCTGAGCCACAGAGGAGGCCACAGATTCCAGCTTCTGCTTTATCCCTCATCTGATGCAGCTTTAAGGTCCTACCCAGCCCTCTTCAGTATTAAATCCTGGAACTATCCCATGGAAAAATTGTTTTATGGCCCAGCTACTTTTCATACATAGTAAAAAGCTTGGAGAATTGTTTTTTCAACAATTCAACAATTTCAACAATTCCAACAAAATTTCAGCATCACAAGATTACTAAGGAATGATTTCCATGGCCAAGTCCTCCCTGTGGAGCTGTCTGAAGCATGGATCTGGTCTGCACAGCAAGGATACTGTATGCAATTTTCATGTGTTTATTTTCGCTGATTCAAGGCCCCACTGCACTTTTTGAAGCTGTCAAACACAGGCCTCAAGCAGGGAGAGCTCTGCATACCTGCAGGACTTTGGCCTGCCAGTGATGATGAGCTTTGCAACGCCTCTGACACAGATTCCCCCTCCAAATCCTCTGTGGGACACCTGGATCCAGGTGTTTCGCTCTCCTCCTCCCCGCTGAAGGACTCAAAGGTGTCTCCTGAATAGTCCAAAGCAGAGCTGCTGTGACTCTGGCTCAAGCCCAGACTCTTCCCGTGGCTCCCGGAGCTCTCAGCTGGGTCAGTGGCCATGGGGCAGCCCTGCAAATAAAAACAAAAACAAGGTCAGTGTCACAGGATTACCTAAAGCAACAGGGAATATACATGGGGCTGTCACATCACAACAGGTGGGGAAAATCGCAGCTGAGTTGTGATTGCCAAAGCACATCCAGATCCACAGGGTAAATGTACAGTACCAGTTAGCACCGAACATTAGCTGTGAAATCTGAGCAGCATTCCTTTCAAACCTGTAGTGGAATACAGTAATGCTTGGATAAAATTCTTCATTAAAAAGAAAGAAATAAATGAATGCAAAATTTCCCCTTTCTATTCTCTAGAAGGAACTTACAGGAAGGATGAGTATTTACAGCAGCAGATAGTGATGGAACAAGGGGGAATGAGTTGAAATGGAAAGAGAATATGGTTAGATGAGATAGTGGGGAAAAACCTTTCACTGTTCCAGGCTGCTCCAAGCCCCAATGTCCAGCCTGGTCTTGGACATTCCAGGGATCCAGGGACAGCCCCAGCTGTGCCAGGGCCTGCCCACCCTGCCAGGGAACAATTCCTGCCCCATATCCCATCCAGCCCTGCCCTCTGGCAGTGGGAGCCATTGCCTGTGTCCTGTCCCTCCATCCCTTGTCCCCAGTCCCTCTCCAGCTCTCCTGGAGCCCCTTCAGGCTCTGGAAGGGGCTCTGAGGGCTCCAGCCCCGCCGCAGCTCCGTGGCCTCCCCCAGCCCCGCTCCAGCAGCTCCGTGCCCGGTCACTCCCCGCAGCCAGGGCCGGGAGCTGCTCTGCCCTTCCCTCCCTCCTCTCGGCCCTCAGCTTCGGGCTCCAGGAGCTGCTTTTTCCTCCTCTCGGCCCTCAGGTTCAGGCTCTAACAGCTCTT